ACTTTGCAGTACGACAGCGTGTACCTAGCTGATGGGTTTCTGCCCAATCGATGGTGTGGTCTGAAGCACTGCAAGTGCTTCACGTGTTTCACAGAGAGACATGTGCAAACAGATGCTCCTTGTGTAATGCTTACACTCTCATACTCACCCTCTCTTCTTTCTCTGTCACACACAACTCAGGTTCCTTACTTTTCCTTCCCCATTATTTTGGAAAAAAAAATCACTGCTTTGGGGAAAAAAAGGGAAAAAAAAACCATTTTATAATCGTCAGGGAGGCCAGAACTGTTTGAAGCTTAATTCTTCAAAGCACTTTGAAAATTCCCACCAGAAAACATCACGTGAGGAAACCAGAGGGAGACGGAGCTAGTTCAGGAATCATGGAGATAGGAGACTCTGAGGAAGAGACATAGCAGTAACCTTCATGAAGGAGAAAGGTATATTGGTCCTCATGTTGTTGTTCTTCCTGTTCTTCTGGCTCCATCAGCTCTCTGCCAGTCCCTGCCCAGAGGAGTTTCCTCATTCTTTCCCTTGTATGTTTGAATCCACCTCTTTCCATTTCCAAAAGACAGAACGTGAAGTGGGTCGATCAATGAAATAACAAATCTTGTGTTTCCTAATGCCCAGCAAATGCTCCCAGAGCCCATCTGACAATCCCCAGGATGGCCCTGGGAAGACCAGCCTGCACCGGAGGGGAGCAGGAGACAGTGGGCTCAGCGGCAGTCCCCTCTCTCTTTTCGTGAGAGTAAGAGAATTAAGTCTTTTTACAAATCTTTATGTAGAAAATCTTATTTTTGTTTGTTTTCCTAGATTGATGGTGTGTGATTCTTCCTGCTTTCTTTATGGAGAGATTATTTGGCCACATGATTAACTAACACAACAACCAATTACATGCATATTGTAGTAATTGGGAGTTTGTGTACGGAAAAATTACCATAGAAATTATATGAAATAGGCTCATCTCAGTGAAACAGAGGAAGACAGAGGAAGACCAGCTATTAGAGCAAGAAGAGTATAGACCATGTCTTCCCATATAGATCTGTCATCTTGCTTTGCTTTAGCAGATGCAGAGATTCTTTTTCAAAAAATACATTTGGTGACATTTTAAAAAAATCTGTAGATTTTTCTAGATGGTCTGTTACAGCATTTCTTATATCAAACAATGACACAAATTAACTCCTTGTTGCTAAATGCTTTTACTATGCAAAAGACACTTGAATAGGGATGTTACAAACTGAAAGCATTTGTGTGATGTTCTGCAGCCAGCAGCCTGGTGTTGCCTCTGCTGCTTGGGACAACTCCTTAACTTTTACGCTAGGAAAAAAAATGTTTAGTTATTGCAGACATCCTGTAGGAACTGCTCCCAAGAGATAAGAGGCTTCAAATATCAATGGCTTCCCTGTTAGGAAATTTGAATCTTTCCTTGAAGGATCACGTAGCCTTAATGGTTGAATCCGGGCAGCAGAAAAATAGGTTAAGTAAGTAAAAGAAGCACAAAAGGATAAAAGTAACCTGTAGGCAATCTCAGTTTGTCCCAGAGGAATTTTGTAACAGAAAGGCAAAATGGTTCTGCCATACATCTGGAATTCAAAATTCATGAATTCAGACTACCTACTCCCACTCCCAGAATAATTTGCTGTAAGTTTTATCACCATCTTAGCAGATTGATGCTGAGCTGGAAGAAATGCCAGCTAATTCAAGAACAGAGGGGACTGGGCAGTAAGGTAAAGTAAATGAAGAGTTCTGTGATTTGTGTTCCACCCTAATAGAAAAGGTCAGCACCAAGGTAACTATTCTAAGTCAAATTTTTCTTTATGGATTTAAAACCATTGTTGTACACCAACCAGGACAATACATCTGTATAGCTACACTATTACTGTCAGCAATGTTAAGAGAGAGAAGGAAAGGCAGTCATTATGGTCAACAAAAGTATAAATATAAAATCAAGGTTAAAGGAAGATACCGAAAACTGATAAAGGGAACAGAAAAAATTACTTGAGCATATCCTCTGAATATCCTGGTCTTTCACAGAGTGCAGCCTGGAGCAACTACCCAAAGAGGAGCATGCATCAGCTTGTTTGCCAACAGCAGCTTGTCCTTCGGGGAGAGCACAAGACAGCAATGGGCGAAGGCAGTGCCCCCCCCAGGGAGCTACAGGATAGTCCAATAACAAAATCACAAAGATAACATAGCTAACGTGCTATAGGTTTTGCAAGCTAAATCCTCAACTGCTGTAAAACTGAACAGTTCGATGCAGTCAGTTCAGGCCACTGTAGGGTCCGGGCTGTCGGGCACTGCAGGGTGTGCATCTTGCAAATCTCATGGGACAGCATGTTCCTGGAGAGGCACAATAGAGGCAAAACAACGTGCCATAAACCATGGTGGTCGTGTCAAGCCAGCAGCATCAGGTGACTTTCCACGTAGCCTTTATGATGGCCATAAACCAGGCCAGCATTGCCCGCCTGTGCCGTGTGCTCAGAAGAAATACAGACATCTTTACTGCAAAGCATGTGCTAGCCACTCGTGTTTTCATTATATTTTACATACTCACAAATGATCTGTTCACTGAGAGCTTTAAAAGGGCAGGTTATGCTAGGACTGATGGAGACCCAGCCACTGAGGATATTATTTTGGTGATTTGAGGACAGGGGCTCCCCGCACGTGCAGTGCTTGGGATGACCCAGGAGTGCCGGGAAGGACCGTCTGCCGCCTTTGGCCAACCACATATGCTCTGCATGGCTGGAGAAGGGCCATGGGAAATCCGTTAGGAAAAAGATTGCTATTTAGCTTATAAAAGCAAAGAGGATCGCCAAGTTAGACACGTGGCCCTACTTGTGATTGTCCAGGACAAAGCTCAGGCATACCAACCTGCTTCCAAGGGTGAGGAAGTGCCCTCTGTGTTGGTCCCCGGCATGTCTGTGTCAGGGTCCGGCTGTGCCCTACGCGTTTTTCATTTTCACAAAAGGAGCAAGGAGATTAGCTCCCAAATGAATAAATCCAGAGTGCTCCACATGTCACTCTAATAGAGTGCTGCACAGGGGAGAAACCCACCACATCTCCCCAAGTATAGAAGCTGCAATAAGAGCACAACTGTACTATCAGACATCAGAGAATCTGCACGGGAGAATGTGCAGAAACTGAGTCTCATCGTTTCTGTTCTTTGTAGAGCATTGTTTATAAGCAACATTTCTTCCTTTTGTAGGGTCCTTAGCCCTAATTGACTATATTTTAACAAGATTCTTGTCTGTCTTCCCTTATTTCTCAATGGATTGCCATGCTGAGAGAGCAAAGGAAGCTCCTTCTCCCCTGGGGATGTCTCCGTCCCCAAATTGCAGGCAGATTGAGATGTCTGGCATCCAGAGAAGTGGGAAAACAAACGACTCACTCAGTCCCCATTCCACTTTTTGCCTCCTCTTTGAGCCCAGCTTGGCGAGCGTGCTGGCTGCAAGTAGGCAGGCAGTTAGTTGTTGCACTGCTGGGCTCGGACGTACAGGGCCATCACTTCAGCGTGCCACCGTGAATTTTGTCCCTGCGCTGCTATGAAGAGGCACGTGCTTTTACACTCTCATTCTGGCCCATGCGAGGAAGGTTAGCCTTCTGAAAAACTGTCTACCTTAACTTTATTACACATCTTTTTTTTTTGTTCCTATTATACAGGCTGCAACATAGTGAATTGAACATCTAGGAAAAAAAGGCTGCCGATGTTTTTTTCAGCTTTCAATGGTTCAGATCAGGCGAGCAATCAAAGGGCAAGGCAGAGGCATGCCTTTTCATTGCCTGCTATAAACAATGAAACTCAGACTTTGCACCATGTAGAAGGCTGCATTATAAACAAGCACGGCTTCTATCATGTTACCATCCTGAGGCTGATTTATATAAACTGCCTTCTGAGCTCTGATTAGGCTCAAAAAAAAAAACCGTGCCGTATAAGCAGAGCAGATTGCTGGAATAAAATTTTCAGTAACACTTCTAAGTATTCAGGTGCCTACTAGTGGGAAATTTCTGGTTCAGGAAAGTTGCATGCCGTTTCTTAAGTGATTAGGAGGAATGTAGTTAAGCAAATGAAGATGGACTGTTTTTTGTCTTTGAAGAGGTTGAATCTCTATTGTCTATATGCTGTATATTCAGGAGCAGTAACTTCAGTTTTGTAGATTACTGAAGGGACAAGTAAATCTATTGTAATGTTAAAGTAGCGTGCAAGGAGCTGCATCAGGCCTTTTTAATTTATGCTATGGAAGGAATATTTACAGCTAGTGAAATCCAAAGAGTCTTCAGGAATACTTTCCAAGGTCGTTATCAGGGCTACTTTAAATGAACCTGCATGGTTCACACTTAAGTATAAAAAGACTATCAAAGCATATAATAAAAAAGCACTATTTCTTCTACTTAGCATTTCAGGAATCACACAAGCTCTTGATTATAGACTTCTCTTCTGCTGCCATGACATAAACCCCTCCTCCCCCAAAAGATTTTTGAGGCAAAGACTCCCTCCATATTTATGTGAGCAGCTAGGTGTACCTATGGCTGAGAATATATTAACTCATGCCTGTTCAAATGACAGTGCAGTGAGGCTAGGGACACAAGAATTAAACATTGTAGTGGAGGCTTAGCTGCTTAGAAAAATGCTGCAAATGGGAACAGCTGCCCCGAAATAAACTCCAAAAGGTGCTATTTAGTGCCGCAGTTCAAGCCCTGCATTACTAGAAAAGTAGTACAAATGTGCTAACCTTTATCAGTCAGAAGTCCCTGCTGTCCTGGATTCCTATGCAATTGAAAGCAGAGTCATCTGCAACAATGGGAGCTTTATTTATCCTGCACAATTGCTGCCAAAGCAGTCCTGGGACTTCCATGAGACTGCTATGAATATGTTTGGAGCGGGATGAATCTGGCAGAGCGCTGTGAAACTGCTGTATCACCAGTCTCAGGTCTGCCGGCTGGCTGCACTGACTGGCAATTTTTGTGCAGGGCTGCGAAGGAAATTTTAAAGCTTTTAGGAGGCTGAAATGGCACTCTTCAACCTGCCTGCCCTGTTACTCATGATTGCTCTACCCTCTAGAGGCAGTGGAGAGGATATAATTGCTGCTGTTATGACAGCTGATGGAGATTTAGGGTAGGGACAGCGGTCTGTGCCCAGCCCTGCATCCCGCACATACTCAGCTCCCACTCGGACGGTGGGAATTTCAAGGAGTAATGAATAAAGAGATGAGTCAAGAGTCAAACGGGAATCATTTTGCATCATCTTTCCCATGGCTCCCTGGCCCCTGTTATGAGATTGTCCATTCTTTACTTTATTCAAGGTAGAAGTAGTTGTGTAGCCCAAGAACAAGAATTTAAGCCTTTCCTTTGTCAGGGACATTCAGCACTTTCAGATGTGCTGCATGCTGCATGTCAGCTGCAGCAGGGGAGACATCTGTGGCCTTCCCAGCGTCCTACTGAACTGGTCGTAATCCTGTTAGTCTCCCTAATACGACCTACTTCTTCCCAGGACTAAGAGTCATCCTGCTTTCATAGGAGATGATAATGAAACTAAATCTGCTTTCCAGCCTGTAGGACTCCTGAAAGAAGAGTCATTTGCTGACAAGTCTGGACTTGATACTAGAGAGGCAGCAGGAGTGACTAAGTTCCCACTGGAGAGCGGGCCCGGCAGGCTAGAAGCCTTTTCACTGGACGTTATTACCAAGCTCGTAGGGCGTAGGGAGCAGTGAGAATTTGGGGGTATCAAATTGATAACATACCTGGAAAGCTCACTGATTGCATCCCAGAAGATGGAGCCATTACAGCAGAAGGACTGAAGCACTCTGCATCCTACGAGAGCTTGGCATCCTTATGAGACGTGTAAAAATACTTCACTGCCTCACAGCCAGGAAAAGCTCTGGGTCTTTATTGCAAGGAGAATTTTCAAATCTTTACTGAAAATAAAATAACAGTGAGAATTTTAAGGGGAATAACCTTTCCTGTTTCGTGAATGTGCCTTTTTGTTTATGCGGTCTTCCTGGCTCCTCACTGCATGGACCCTCCAGGTGTGAGCACTGAATCCTGACCTGACTAGGTCAGAATTGCTTTTGGTGAACACAACTAAGAAATAGAGAACAGCAAAACAGTGTGGAAGGTATTCTCTGGGATGATGCTGACCCTATGTCCTAAGGGCTGAAAAGAGATAGGCAAAAAGCAAATATAAGATAAAAGGAAAATTTATATTAACTGCCTACTTGAACTCTTTCCAGAGTGAGGGTGAGAACCTTCTCAGCAGCCACCTTCCAGGCATCCATGGTTCTGCCCTTGGGCAAACATAAACGATCACTCATGGAACAGCCACTATATTTTATGGTTTGAATTTGGTTAATTAATGATTCAGGGGGCATATTTCTTAACATATGACCCATCATGTGAGACAAACACACTCAGAAACTCTGGAATGCCAGAGCCAATGTGGATGCCAGGTACATGCCAAACCTGAGAACCAGAGTCTGAAATGCATGACCTTGTTCCTTAAAAAGGCGGCCTCTATTCTGCTTCCAGTATTAAATTTGTATTTTTTTTAAAGATGCATATCAAAGCGAAGGGATGTTGGTGAATGTTTCCTGCAGGAGTTGTTCTAGGCTACTCTTAGGATTGGCTTGCAAAGGCCAGACAGGGCAGCAAGGGTGAGCATATATTGAGGGATTCTCATGTCAGAATTTGAAGAGTTTAACTTGTCTTTGAAGATACACGCTTGTCTGAGTGTCTTGTTGCAGCAAGTTTCCCAAGATAAGGTCTCCCATGTGGTCTCCATTGTTAAATGCACTGCAGTCCAAATGTGGTGTTGATCACAAGTAAGGTGGTGGATATAAAGGCAAACTTTGAGATGTGCTGCCCAGGCAAAAAGAACTTGTCATAGATACAGAATTAGAGCCCGGTGCAAAGCCCAGAGTATTGCAGTGGCAAGCCCCTAACATGCTAAATGTCGCAAACTTCTAAGCAATGCACGTAGATGTAGCCAAAGTTTCTGTGCGACCTTCAGTTGTTATTTCTGTCTTGAGATATATTGCAGGAAGGACATTATCACAGCTTGCAAGACCACCAATGTGAGGTATGCAGTGCATGTGAGACCATGTAAGAGAAGGATTCTCCCTGGTTATTAGATGTGTGAGAGAATCTGTGTCATCCTGATACTAAAAGCAATAAAGTCATAAGTCAATGGAAAGCAAAGCCTGTAGGTTGACAGTGGCTCAAAAAATATTTGGAAGTTCCCAAAATGTTCATTTCCCCCTCCCATTGTCACCTCCGGTTTGCTTAATGTCATTTACTTTTCATTTTGATTTAAACCTCCGCTAGTTCTGGCATAGTGTCAAAGTGTGAGGCCCTTCCAAATCAGCTTGCTTACCTCTTGCCTCAACTCCTCAGTCTCAAGGCATAAGACATGTCCTGCCCTGCTTTATTAAGAGACTGTAAGGATCTACAGTGCCCTAGTGACAAAGTAAGAGGCAAAGCTCAGCAGTGGAGGAGGGCTGAAGGGCTTGCAGGAGGTCACAAGAAGGCTCTATAGCAGGAGGAGGGCTGAAGGGCTTGCAGGAGGCTCTATAGCAAGAGACCAACTTTCATCTCCTCTTGTTGTTTTAGCCATATTGCTCTCTAGATGTGTATTGCAGTCTCTGTCCTGAGAAGCTTACAGTTCACATTACAGGCAGCTATGATACAATACTTAGATACTAAGGTGGTTTTTTGACAGTGATAACGTGGCTTAGCATTGGAAGGCTCTCAGTGGAGAAATGGATATTTGGAGTACAGTGGTAGGAAAGATGAAAGGTGGCGAGTCTTGATGCAGAAATGTCACTATTAGTATATGAAAGGATATAATAGGTTCTATTCGTATGAACATAGTATGAAAATAATGTAATTGTTGTTGAGCAAAATAACACAAGGACCTATCTGAAATCTCTCTTCAATCCTCCCAAATTCATAAGTATCAGACGAGTAATTTTATTTCCCTGTCACAGCTCATTATGAAAGGACATGGCATGCTCTGCATCCTCTCTGGTTCTAAGATTGGTACTTAGCTCATAATGTTCTGTATGTGAAATTATCCTGGTTTTGATCAACATTAGACCTCCCCAAATAAAGTTACAGTAATTTCACTGGGTATTATCTCAGAGAAGGCAGGCATAGAAACAAAAGGTCAATTTAAGGTGCACTGACAGAGCTGGATGCTGAGCTGTGTCTGAGGAGTACTCCAGACAAGAGCAACACGCAGTTTCAGTGCTGTATTTCAGCTCTTTCTGCTCTGAATGGTGACTAATATTACATTGATCCAGTGGAATAGCTTAAAGTTTCAGATTAAAATAGTCTTTCAAGTACAATTTGCTACCAATCAAGTTACAAGTGGGGTGAAAAGCTTGAAAGAAACATTGACTCATCAATTGAAGCTGTTTGGGTTTTGTCCAAAACTTTCTTTAAAAACAAAAACTGCACCAAGAGTCCCCAAATCTTTAACAATGCGCCCCAATTAAAGAAAGAGTATAACTCAGAGATTCAGGCTCCACTACGGCAGGATTTCTTCTGTAAGTGTGTATCACCGCTGCTTAGCAGCCAGATGTGGACCTGGTCCTCCAGTGCCAGCCCTGGTGCTGAATCTCCTGTCCTACTCTGAATAATGTGACACTGCACAATGCCTCAGATGATGCTGTCAGGGACCACAGTGTGAGATAAGCCTGATGACTCACTCACTGATCTGCTAAAGAATGGTGTAAATATTATACAGCTTGTCTTGATTCTACAAGGAAAAAAATGAAGAATTTTTAGTGTTTCTGAACACAGTACATGGCAGAGCCACAGGAAGACTGCATTATATTCCTGTGAACTAGCAGTTTCTCTTTTTTATGGGAGATATTTTTCATTCCTTTTACCAAGACAGGGAAGAGCCGTCTTCCTGTCTGCCTCCAATTTTGCCTCCCACAAAAATGTTTCACTAGAACTTCTCTGACGGTGCAAAAACCTGATATATAGCACATAAACTACGGCACTATCAAAACATGAATCAGTCACAAAGCAACTCACTCCTGGTGAGGTGACACAGGTTAAGGACCAGACTGGGGAATTCCTGATGGATTTCTGCAGAAACTCAGCCTCCCAGCCTCTTTTACTGTTATGCAGAAAACAAAGAACATTTTTATTTGTGGAACGTATCGACTTGCTTAAAACAATACAAGCAAATGAAAACACAGCCCTGCCTCCTTTTTTTAGTAAGTTTGCAAACCAGCATAGTCTAACTATTCATCCAAGAAAATTCAGAGGAATCTGATGCTCATTGCCTTGCCAGCAGGATGGAGGGCTGAATTAAATGGGAAAGCCAGCTCTTGACAGCAGAGAAGTTCCTTTCTTAGGTGGTATCAGACACATAGGTTCACATCCCCAGCTGTTAAAAGGGAGATTTGTACTGCACCAGGAACCATCTCTTTCTTTCTCAGGTTGACTCCAATAAGGAAGATGAAAGGAGAAAACGTTAAGGAGGAATGAAGATACGAAAAAGGTTAATATCTGTAGCACTGATCTATGACCGATTTGGACAAATCAACTCCTGCCATCAAATGACTTTGTTATCTGGAGGGCCCGTGTGCCAAGGAAAGGCCGCTGGCATTGGACGTTGGAGTTGTTTGTAACCAGGAGGCACAACATGCCACCCCAAAAACCCTGAGCACCCATAAACCACATCTACCTTCTCCTTCAGACCACCAGGTGAGCACTCTTCTGATCAAATGTAAGACTCTATTCCTCATTTACATCAAATAACACTAATTGCATGTAGTCTATCAGGAAAGGTAGGGGTAGAAGTACTGAAAAACAGAGGAGTGAAGTCTCTGCAGCAGTCTGTGGGCAGTAAGTGTAAACCATGGACCTGGTGTGCTGCCACCACCAACGGCCACATCATTGGGGTGAGCTTGTCTGAACAGCACTGTTAGTCACTGCTGCTGTTAATGGCAGATCTGCGGCTAAACCTCTGCAACACCAAAGTCGCACTTGCAGTCTCCTCTCCGAAAGCTCACTCATGGGTGACCCAGTGGATGGTAGTCTTCAGGCCAGGGATCTTTATACTTATTCACCTCTTACTCAGTAAAGAACTGATTGATTTCCATCTGGTGACTTAAGGAGTAGTTTACTAGACTCAGATTCCCTCAGGCAGTATATTTTGTCTATTTATAGCCACACAAAGGAGAAATAAATACAGGTAGATGGCATGGGAAAGTGCCCTGAACCACGCAGAAAGCTTTAACAATAGCAGTTTTATCATATCTATTGCATAAGTTGCTTTAATGTTGGAGAAAATGGTAGAAGTGAGAAGAAATGAAAACAATTTGTATCTTTATGGATAAATGGTAAACCATGACACCAGGGCAGCTCAGTCCTGAAAAAGAAAACCCACCCCCCTAACTGCTTTCTATTACTCTCAATAGTTAAAAACTGATGATGATGGGTAACTTTTACCTCTAGATGGAATAAAGCATGCCCCTGCTGCACTACACAGCTTATATTCCTGTCTGTGTGTGCACAGTGTGCACTCTGTGTAATGAAGGTTAATTATGTCAGTACATAATTAAAGATAAAAAAGCAGTGAGTGGATGCCAGTGATGAGATCAGTACGGCAATCCTTCTAAAGAGATAGACATTTACTTGCCACATGGTTTGAGGCCAGGTCTGGGACTAGGGTCAAGAAACTA